TGATTGGTTGGCAGTCTTCTTCCTCGATGTGGGCGTACTCATCGCTACCAAGTGCAAGGTATTTGGACTTTGGGATTATAGTTAGGTTGTTGCGGTCAGGAATGGAGTAAAGGTGAATAAAATCGTATATTTTTGAATCAATAGAGGGGAGAGGATAAAGTTTATTGAGTGTGGTGTACTATATGCTTTAACCTTTATAGATTTCTCTATCTTATGTATATTTATAATATTTATCTCATCTACTGGATTCATTGAATAATAATTACGCAAAATTACTAATTCTTTAATAAGATTTTGTGGACCAATAACGCTTGGATTCATAGTTCCTAATTGAGCGAACGTGACGGCATCTTCCAAAGTCATTAACTTTTCTAAAATTATTTGTAAACTTAAGTCTATTTGTAAATATATATCTAACAAATGAAAACTGTCCCTAATTCAATTAGAGTTTTGCGTTATATTTTGCAATATCTTAACTACATATTTCTGATTTTCCTCTAATTTACTTATTTGACTGCCGAATTCATTGATCATACTTTTTGCTAATATTAAAGATTTCTTTTGTGAATTTTGAACTCTATTAACCTTGTTACTTATATCTGAAATTTCTTTCTCGAATTTAACAGCATCGTCATTATCTAAGTTGCCGGTTATTGTTTTTACGATTGTACCTAATCCGTTTATTATTCCGCGTTTTACTCTAACTGGGGGAATCAAATATGCTAACTTCTTATTTATTAAACTTATACTATATAATATTAGATCCTCGTAGGACTTATATCTATAATTAGATGTTAAGGTATTTTCAACATCTTTAGTGCTTGCATATAATGCCATTAAATTTAATTAATTTAATTGTTGCTAACTTTGTTTGTTATGTTATACACACAAGCTAGGCTAAAGTACTCGGTCTGTCTAAGTAACTGTACCTATTTGAGTAATAGTACGCCGTTATCATTACTAATGGGATCCAGGGTCACTTTTGCGGTTGATGGTTCCTGCGTCGAGGATCTTGGAACAAGATGAGGCCTACGTAGTAACTTGAAGTGAACTCTTATAGACTTTGAATTTGGGTGACTACCTATTATCTCCGCATATATACCGCATAATCAATACAGCAATAAAAGAAGTAGACACTGTACTTGATCTTGGAGTAATTTATGATAGTAAGTTAACGTTTAATGCACATTTAGAAAATATAACAAAAAAGCATATAAAATGTTAGGATTTATCGTAAGAAATTGTCATTCCTTTCGTAATTTCAAAACTAAATTATGGCTTTACAATAGCCTAGTCCGAAGTATCCTTGAATACTGTAGTGTAGTCTGGCTGCCGCATTACGCTACGCACTCATTACGTATAGAAAGAGTTCAAAAAATGGTTTATGTGGCATTTGGCGTTTTCTGAGGGTAAGTCAAGAGAACTACGATCTTATGAAGAAAGACTTAATTATTTCAAGGTAAACTCTTTATCTCATAGAAGAGAAGTGCTTGATGCTAAGTTTGTGAGTAAACTATTAAATAACAAAATTGATAACCCACAACTATTGAATTTGCTTAAATTTCGAGTACCTATAAGAATACCTCGCAAACCTATTACACCACTAAGAAGAACAGTGCTGGGAAGTAATTCTCCTTATATTAAATTTTGCAAAACAATTAATCTTTTTAGCGATCAAATAGATTTTCAAGTTGACTCAATAGCCAAAGTCTCTTAAATAATGTATACCTCACTTTCTAAAATTTGAATATATACATTTTACCTTATGTAATAAACATACCATAATTGAATTTAATTTATTTTACAGCTGTTTATTTTAAGCTACATTTTTATTTTTTACTATTTCATTATTTATATTTTTAATTTTATATTTATTGTTATGATGTTTAACTGTACTTTCTGTGCTTATCTTTAAGTTATTGTTACACTTATACAAGTACTTATTGTTTCTTTCCTTTTTTATTAGATATAGTGTAAACAGTTGTTGATAGGCCTTTTAAAAATAAAAAAAAATAAAAGAAAAACAAAATCTCTGCGATACTATTGGGGTGTAGATGGATTACCTTATAGGGTCCTTTGAAGACAGGCTTTGTCCTGTCATTCCGCGCTGTCTTTGCCACCTGCTTATATACTATTTCACTTACCTTGAAAGATACTTCTTCAGCATCTCGGCTTCTTCTCGCGATAACCTGTTCTATGTTACCGGACATGTAAGCTGCAATACACTCCTGTATCGCTTTTACTTTTATTCGGTGATTGAGTACATAATCCTGGTAGAATTCCTTCGGGTTAAACATTTCTAAGGTATTTCGAGATTCTGTGTGATCAAATAGCAGTTCATGTGGTTTATAGCCTGTTACGAAATGTATCCCGTTATTGTATCCTATGATCACGTACTTCATAATATGTTGAATGGGGTTGTCTTTGTTAGTTATTTTTTGTATATAATTTAATTCACAACTACTATTTCTATTTAAATTTTTAGAGTAAATATCTAATCTAATAGGGGCTTTGTTTGAAATATATTTTTTATCAGCTTTTAAGTTAATACCAGATCTTCTAAACGTCCCGTTCTTAACGTTAACTATCGCTGCGGGTGATTTTAAGCCATCAGACCAATAGAAATCGTGATATAAGTACTGTCCTTCTATGTAATGGGTCTTGAATGTCATTAACTTTTCGCATCTAGGTTCTTCTTTAAGCTTTTGGTATGGGTAGTTAAAATATATCGGTATATCCGCTGTTGAGGTGTGTAACGAGTTATTATTTAAATTAATGTTATTTTTTAATTTTCGCAACAAGTCAAATCCGATTAGACCTTTGTATTTTGGATCGAAATCAAAAATTAAAAATTTATGCGTAATATTGCTATTAAACGCGGGTGGTAAGGGCAAATAGACCACATGATCATGACGCGAAACAGTATGTGCCGTTGATATTTCAAAGGGTTCATAATCTACACACTGTTCAAAGCTAGAATCACGAATAACATCGGGTGAAATAGTAGAGTGACTTGTTCCTGTATCTACTAAAAATTTACCTTGAAATTCAGGTAGCTTGATGTAGGGGTGGTGGTCTTTATCTTGGAACTTCATCTCTACCAGCTCTGGTCGTCCTGTCTCCTCCAAAGGAGAAACCTGGTTGGAGTCTTGCTTGTTAAAGTAAACATCAGTATCGAAGTCATCGCTGTCGACCGGTTGAATACTATTTTGATACTCACCTTCGTTGGAGTATAATTGCGTATGGTTAGTCATCTGACTGGGAGTGTAAAAGATCTCCTCAGTGGTGAACTGCAGTCTCGGAGTCTTGTTTACAGACCTCATAATCACGTCAGAAGGCTTTTGAGGGGTTACCTGTTGTTTAGTTATGTTTGGCTGGTCCCTGAAATTGCTGCTTCTGAAGTTGCCTGAGCCACCTGTTCTAAAGTTACCTGAAGTTGGTTGTGGTATCCAGGGTTGCATTGGCTGTACCCACTGCTGTCGTTGTTCAGGGGCTGCTCTATTATTGTGGCTAAAAACGGGTTGTGGCATATGAAGCGCTAAATAAGTAGGCGCCATATGCGGGTTACCATAATTTTGATATGGGTAATTAGGGTTCATTTTAAATAACTCCTTCGCCTTAGCTTGAAATGTTGACAGTGTATTAAAATGAGTGTCTTTATTATATTCAAGCCTAGCCTCTTCCTGTTTAGCCGCTATTATAGCCAGCTCTAACGTATCGGGTTTAGCGATTCTTACTCCGAATGAGACATGGAAGTCTAATTGATCAATATATTGTTCTATGACCATGTTCTCATAGAATTTTTTGTTGCTATGACTGCCTATCAAGAGTAAGGTGTCTAGCAATTCTCTAAGCCGTTTTCCAAAGTTCTCGGCATCCTCCTGTCTAGAACGGCGAGTATATGTAAGTTCTTGCATCACCTGAAACTCATTTCGCGGTTGACGGAGTCCTCTAATAAGAGCATTTTTAATGGATTCCCACGTATCTAAATATTCCTCATAGGCTAAGGCTTCTACAGCGGTGTCGCTAAGCCTACTCTTAATAAGACAACTTACTAACGCACAATAGCGATACGTATTAAGTACAGTAAATTCCTGATTCTAAGGAGTTTAATGAACAATGGAATGACGCTCGCGTTCGTTCACAGTATCGAATGTCTCGTGCGATTGTAGCTAACTGACAAACGAACTGATGATAATTTTAAACAAAGTTATTGATTTTATTATGTATTTTAATTTGTTGTATTTATTTTAACTTCTTATTTAAAGAATTTATTGTTGATCTTATTATTATAAATATACTAATAGAATGGGAAATGTCTGTTGCGATTAAAGCTTATAGACATACACACTCAATAAAAAAAAATACCTAAAATAAGACAGGAAATAGAGCAGGAACACTTGGATAACTAGAGTACTTACCCCAGGGTTTTCTGCATCTCCTGACGAGTCCTTGCCCGATCGCGCGATTGAGGTTCTTTAGGATCGCTCAAGGTACGATTTGAGAACCGTGACACAATCGTAATAGAACATTTGATTCAATACGAAAGTGCTGCGATCCTACCGACTGCGCCAGTTAAGTAATCGGCGATCGGTATTCCAATAAAAAAAGATTTATTTAATTAATTACAAGGTGTTAACTGTATGACAATTTGGAATGGACTGATTTATAATTACAAAAACTTATGAACTAAAACTAATGGTGTCAGCGTTCCTTCGATGCGCCTTCGCCGTGCTGAGTCTGCAGTAATCGCGGTTATGACGTGCTAACTGTCTTGGTGCAAGTATTTATCTTGCAATCTATAAAAACACGCAAGATTATTCTATTTTTATCTGGGTTATCATAACTTGATATGTGATGTTAAAATGATAATGGTAAACTTCAGTTACAACTTTTTTTTTGTGGTGCCACACGTTGTTGTATTAGTAGAAGAATGGCTTCATCACTGAGAACATGTCGTCGTTGTCTTATAAAATTAATGCCACAGTTGGCACATCTCAAATTGCTGATATTGGGAAGGGTACTTCTTGATGAAGATGGTATTGAATAATGCCTGGCAGCACGATCTGCCTTTTGCCAACAAGGATGACAAATATAGTGAGCTGCACGTATCTGAAAAAGAATTAATTTTTAATTTGATATGTCAACAGCAAAAGTTTGGCAGTAGCAAAGCAATATAAGCCTGTATTTATAATACCATACCTCCAATGGTAAAAGCCTTTCTGTGATAATATTTCTGATCTTTAAATGATGTTGAGTATCAGTTCTTAATGCAATTATTTGATGTGAACGTGTCCGAGGTGCTAATGTTGTACTGCAGAGTGCACAGTTTCTGCCAACATTATTCGCAGAAGTGGTTTGTATCATCTCTTGGGCCATGGTCCAACATATTGTGCATATAAGATCATGATTAATCGGCATAATCTAACTTGAACATTTATTATTGAGTTCAAAGTAAACGTTCAACACTTGCATGAAAAATTTGTCAACGCATGTTTCAGATATACAAAAGTACTCTTTGGCATGTGCAATACTTGAAGCAACACGCCAATAAATTGTACACGGCTACACGCACATACAAGAATGTGTTTAGACAAGTCAAAACTTGAAAGCAATAATCGCCTAAACATAATTGCATTGATGTAAACAAAACACATTTGCAATTATTTCTTGTCAAGACTTGCATACAATAATCGCATTCAATTTTTTTTACTATATGTGCGTGTAAACTGTTGCTTACAATTCTTGATGGTCAATTATTGCGCGCAATTTATTGCATTCAATTATTGCTCTTGTATATACAAGAAAATGGCATCGTGTAAATGGGCCTTTAGAGGCCACATGCTTGTATGTGCGTGTACAATTTATTGGCGTGTTGCTTCAAGTATTGCACGTATTTGCGTTGACAAATTTTTCATGCAAGTGTTGAACGTTTTACAAAGGGCTGCTTTTTAAAAAAATGGCTTAATAATAAGTGTTCAAGTTAGATTATGCCGATTAAATATATTTCATTGAGATTTATTTATTATGATCCATATATTATTATTCATATTTTTATCCAACTTTTTTTATGACCTTTTCTCAATATTTCTATCCTCAAAAGAACAGCAATGATTAAATACCCTCACTCATTGCACAAATTTTTGCCAAGGAAGAGAGAATGCAATTGAATACAAGAATTGCTTAAGAAATTATTGTGTGTGCTGTTTACACAAGGAAAGTTTTGAAACAAAACTTGAAGCAAGTCTTGTTCAACAGTCAAGAATGTTATGTGTTGTTTAGACCATGCAACTCATTTATTGCTTCAATTTAATTGTATACAACAGGCAAGAAACTGGCACCATGTAAATGGGCCTTTACACACGCGGCTCGCGCGCGCTGTTCATTAGACGTTGCAACTCGCATCAACTCGAGTTGAGTGAAATGCACCACTAGGGGTCATCTACTCGGCCTTGGAGGGCCTGCAGGTAGGGGTGTCGAGGACAGACCTCATGACCCGGGCTTCATCTCAGGGGCCACTCCGTGCCCCCGGTAATTTGGGCCATATTGGCCTGACGGGATGTGTTGTTCGATGTCGCCATAAAAATGGCGCAACACTGTTTATGGTATGATTACTATTCGCCGTAATGCTCGGTGAGTAGCGTTGTTAAGGTATGTAGGGATGCTCCCATTGGCGATTGTCCTGTTGCCATTGCGGCTATAATGGTTATTAATGCCTCCGCCAATGTGCGGATCAATTGCTGAAGTGATGCTGCGAATTCCTCCACAGTTAACAGGTACAGTATAACGGTTGTCTTGAGGGCGAAGGGGGCGACGACTGGTAGGCGCTGTCGCCGTCCTTTGCTCGAAATGTATTTGTCGGTTTTCTTGTATGGGAGTTTGGCGTCTTTGTCGGGGGCGGAGGGGGCGGTGAGGTAGCGCCGTCTCCGTCTCCGTAGTGGTTGCTTGTTCCCGTTCTCGGGGGACTCGAGTTGACGGTCGTTCGACTCTTTCGTCTTGTGAGGAGGCCGCGGGTGCATCACGTCCGCGGCGTCTTCGACGATGGCTTCTGACCCTATTTGTAGCTGGCTTGGCTGGCGGCTGGAGTGTCGTTACTATCGTGGTTGGTCTTACAGAGGTGGCGGCAGTGGAGGCGGCGTCGGCGACGTATGTGGTCTACGGGCGCGCGCTCGAGATAGTTTGTCTATTGATATCCCCCGCAGTGGTTCGCACTGCGGTAGGGGTTCGTAATGCGGTTGCTGGTGTAGTCTCGCCTTGTTCGTAAGGCTGAGGGGGGAAGTCTGAGGTGGGGGGAGCTGTCCCCCCGCTACGACTATCTCCGTTTCGTCCAACGGTCGTCCATCCTGCTCCCTCGTTTCTTGTGTTGGGCCGCGGCGGATTGATTGCTATCCCGCGTTTTCTAGCCTCTCTTAAAAACGCGGGACAACGCCTATCGTTGGCCGGATGTCTCTGCCCGCAGTTTGCACAACGTGCGGGGGTGGTTTGCGGCACTGGGCAGTTAGCTGCTATGTGGTTGTCTGCGCAGCGCACACAGACAACTGGTCTGTGGCAGTTTGCCGATGAATGTCCAAATTTTTGGCATCTGTGGCATTGGGGTGGGCCTGTTCTCCCCTTCCACCCCTCGATTTGGATGCCCGGCATGTTGAGGAGTTCATTTGTATCGTACAGTCGGGCTGCTTCTCTGTTTTTGAGGCGCTCGAGCTGCGCGAAGAATACACATCGGCTTCGGTTTCTTATGGGCGGTATTAGTTTTGTGTAGGTCGCCGGGAACCCTAGTTCGCGTAACGCATCGGTTATGCTCTCCGGGTCCGTAGATTCTGGCAGTCCGCGTATTCCCACTTTAGTGGGGAGCTCTCTAGCCGGGGCATAACAATGCCAAGTTATGTTGCTGTTTTCATTTGTGGCTGCAGTCAGGTGTCGTTGAATGACTCGATATTCATGCCCCGATTGGGGTAAGAAACGGATGCCTTTTCCGAAAGCTCGCGCGTTCGGCGCATGTCCGAGCTTATTTTTGAGAGCCGAAAAATGGTGAGCCCAATCGGGCAAGTTTTCGACAATGATGGGTGGATATCCCTTCTTAGTGGTTTCTTCTTTTGGAGCCGTAGGTACTTGCTCCTCAGTCTGAGCGGATGTCGACGGTGTTGGCTGCACAGGCGATTTTGCTATGGATGCATATGATGTACTTTCTTGTACTGTTTCCATGCGCTCGGGTGGCGCATGGACTGAGTCGTTCGAGGGCGATCTCGGCGGTTGTGAATATCGCGTCGTGTTGGTATTCCTGTATGCATTTTCATGTTGGTCATCCTGTGTTACGGTGTCCGTTTCTTCGATGCATTGTTGCTTCTCTAGTAACGATGCGTCGGTTTCGGGCGGCGTATGTCTCCTGCGGGTCTTCCTTGCGTGGTACGTCTTGGCCGGGGTGGATACGTACATAGACGCACCACCGTCGGCCTTGACTTCCGCCACCCCTGAGACGCTTGCGGCGCTTCTTCGGTACTCCTCCTCACTAGTTGATAGGTATTCTTCGGCTTCCTGGTAGCGCTGCGGCTGTGGGCGCGACAGTTCTCTTGGGAGCTCAGCTTCCTCGATGTCCTGTTGGTCCATGGCTACAGGTGTGCGGGTCCTCCTGCGAGGTTTGGGGGGCGATATGCCCTCCATCGTTCGCGGTTCCGTCACGGCCCGTTGTTGCGGGCGGAATCGATCCCCAGTCGAGCAATGTACCTTGCTCCCCTCAGCGCGGGCCACTTAGCCGGGTGAGACCCCTAGGGGAGGCCCAGCGAAGCGCCGAGCGAGCGGGGAGAGGTATCAAGGCCGCAGTGTAAGTCGGGAATCGTCGCGCTTCCCAGCGCGTGCACTGCCTGCCCTTTTCTTACGAAAGGGGAGTCGCAGTGCTGGTCGCACACGTAATCTCGCTGTCGCGGGGGTGGTCTCGGCGAGGCGTGTACGGCGCACACGTTCCGGACAAGATGGCCTAGGCTGCTCGACGCTTCACGGAGTTAATACCTCGACGTTATGCGGAGTGGCTTCGGCGGACTTCGGCTGGATGGCTTCAATCACTCACGATGTCGCAGAACGGGCGCTTGAGTGAAATGCAAAGTTACGTTACTAGGTGTTGCATGTTACTCGCATCGACTCGAATAGAACTCGGGTTGAGTCGGGCTCGCTCGGCCAGGATCGGAAACGGAATTGCGCGAATGAAAAACGGCGTTAAAAGTTTATTTTGACTTTTGATTGACATTTTGTTGTTTAATTTTATTAGTTGACCGTTGGCGATCCGCGTGCGAACTGAACTTTTTGATTTGTTAGTAATCTGTTGTGTTTTGTTTGTAATGACGTGAAATAAAAGAAGTGTGGCGTGGGAATTCTTTGCTATAAAAACGGAAACTTCTTTTTAACTTTTTTTTCGAGTAGCAATCGACTATGTACAATTGATTTATAAGTACGACTTTGAGGCGATGGATGGCGGTGTTTTGTTTGTCGTTTTTAAATACGATGTTGAGATTTACGCTGGAATATTATACACCTTTGTTGATGTTCGAAATAAATTCCAGTCAGATAAAAGCTACCGATCGAGCCGAGGTCCCCTCTCGGGGACCCTTGAGCCTGATCACTCCATGGAGCGCCCGCCAAAGCGCCCTAAGAGCTTGGCGGCCACCCAAACCGGTGAAACTAATAGCGTGACAGCCCGAGCCGAGGCTCTCTCGGGAGCCCCCCGAGCTTAATGTTTATTTTTAATAAAAACTTCAAGGTAGCTCTGAGACGCAATGCCGCGCGCGCGCCGATCCGAGTAGAAATGGCGGCCGATTTTATTTTAAGAAAAATAGGTAATAAACAAACAGAAAAAGAATTGGTTAGATTTAAAAATACATTATAATGTCAATACAATATTGACTATTGTGGTGCATTATTATCAAGAATCGATTAAAATCATGCAGTGACGTCCCTAGTTGAAATGACATCTTGATTTAAGTTGTACAAATGGTGGAATTGTTGATGTTTAGTCGTTACAGTACTTTTAAATATATACTATTTATTTACAGGTGTCCGTTTGATTCTAATATCCGCAATTAGTATAATAAAATAATATAAAAATTAATATGTACGTTGTTTTTGTGTTGGTCTTGGGGCAACTTTCGACAATGTCCTTTTAATGTCATTTATGTACTTGGCTGTTAAATCCTCGGTTGAACATAATTGAGCTACCTGTTTCTCATTTTTGTTTAAATTTAAGCTTTTCTCTCGGTCTTTGTTATTTTGTCTGTTTTTAAAGCCATGAACAAATAGGTGTCCTAATTTATCACAAACGTTACAATTAGCTGTTGGTTTGTGGCATTTAAAGCTCAGATGTCCAGTTTGATCACAGTTATAACATGTAACTTTCGAACTATTGTATTTTACTGTAGCTATTACACCTGTACGATCATTTCGAAATTTTGGATATGTATCGTGATTTTCACGACTATGCCCTACATTCAAAGTTCTAAAATATTTTAACACTTGCTCTGATTCCAGAAATTGTGCTTGAGCGCCAACCTTAATAGCCATATCCTCAACGCCGTATAAATGAGTCAACAGCTGACGCCATCTTACATCTGTTCAACATGTTTATTTTGGCATAATAATAATGTTCGAGAGACTCCCCGTATTTAACCCTTTTAGCGAGTATATGAGTCAACAGTTCAGCGTAGTCTTCGCGGACTGGGAAGGATTCAATCATTTTCCTCTTCCATTCGGCCCATGAAAACATCATTGTTGGCAGACTTTGATACCAAGGCTTCGCTACACCATGTAATTTTGGAAGGACATAATGAATATTTTAAAAAATAAGCATAATAAGTTGAGCGCTGCCGTCTTTGCCATACACAGGATCAGGCAACTAGTTTATTATGCTTATTTTCACAGTATTAAGTCTTGTGGTGCCTTACTTTGGAGTGAGTATTGTAAAAGCAAGCGCTACGGGCTGTCTATGGTCTGGGTCCACGTGAGCCCCTTCGGCATATTTTTAAGCAAATAAACATCTTAACGCTCCAGTCGCTATACATACTGGAGAACATCATGTATGTACGAAATGATATACCCGTTCGGGGCCTTGGTGACACACTAGAAATACCAATACCATTAAACTAGCTGAAACCAGGAAATCGTTTCTTGGTAGATGTATTAACTTATGTAATAGAATAGGCGACATCCACAAATAATTAAGTGTAAATAATTTCAAACATTTTGTAAAGGCCACCTTAATGGAAAGGGCCCATTATAATGTCGAGGAATACATTGAGGATAAGGATGTGTGGAAATGACTCATGCTCTGCACTTGCAAGTCCTCTTGCTCCTGCTAAATTTATACTTAAATGCTTTTATATAAAAAAAATATATATGACCGCAGAGTTTCTTGCCGGTTCTTCTCTTGCAGGTCTAGTTTAGTCACCGGTGATAGTTTACGACGTTCAATAAGAGCTTAAAATAAGCCTATGTCGAACAAAGAAATTTTGACTTTGACTTGGAATGGCAGGCGTTCAGCTTACTATGGTGGCAATGATGGCATGTATATTAAAAGCGGTGGGACTTACAATAAGTATAGTAAAGAAGTGAAGAATAGTAAGTAAGCCACCAAGCTATGCCTTACTCTCGATATTCGAGGTGCGGAATCCTGTCATTTTACTATTCCGTGTACGACACCTTCAAATCTCTAGATTAAGTTCAGAAAAAATAGCTAAAACATTTCAAAATGTGATAATTTATTTACTATAATGTACAAACACCAAATAATATATATGTGAAATATGCCTTGCTCAAGTCATTAATATTTCATACAATGTCTCTCACAATACAAATAGAGGTAAAAATTAATCATTATACTTTAATAAAGGCGCACAAGATGACAAATTTTTCAGTAGCACCTTTTCATAATCATCTGCATGTAAATATCTCAGTTCTAAAGAGGTCTTTAATAAACCCATGAACCACCAATCTCAATAACAATAATTTATTTTTTTCCAAATTGACCACAATTGTCTGAACTTTTAAACTTACGTTATAATTCTGACATTAAACTAGACCAGAAAAGAAGTCTGATGCATTTTTTACGCTGCTTGAAGGTAGGTTATTACACATATCTTTTTTCTTGTTCTGTTTATGATTTACATCAATTATAGAGTCAATATTTTCAAAGTACGAGATATTCCAAAATCTAACATCATTGTTATGAGAACTTGAAGCAATGTACTGGCCATCATGGCTTATATCTAAACATTCAACAGGCAAACTGTGCTGTCCGACAATCCCTAGTTGTCTTTGAGGAAACATATGTGCTGCTCTTAAAATTCCATCCTCTCCTGATGTAACAACAATATTTTGTGTTACTGGCACCATACATTGAAGAGAATGTTTCTGTCCCATATACTCATCGCTATGTAAACCAAATTCTTTCCAGTTAAATAAGTAAAGCTTTCCTTTAGAAGACCCCACTAAAAGCTTACTGTCTGAACGGAACAATCCCATGCATGTCAGTTCCGCATCATATTCTTCTGATGTTGTATGTATTTTTCTGAAATATAAATTCCGAAATATATATTAACAAAAATGAGTTTAAAAACTAACCTACATCATTTTGTTTATTAATTGAATGCTTGTCAAATCGATTATCGCAAAAAGCAGAATAATGAGAAAACATAAGTTTTTTTTTATTCTTGATAACAATTGTATTATACTACAGATATGTGGTTAATGCACCCAAAAATGAACCTCTGAACTGGGACGTCTCGTTTTTAGTTTACGTTAAGCCCGATTTACCCATGTCAAGTGTTTAGTTAAATAGACGATACAGTGGTGTAAACCACCGGAGAGTAGCGAGTCAAACTGCCTTGCAAATAGACCTAAATAGAATCGCTTTCAATATTTTGGTGCAAGTGCACCCCGCGTGCGTGTGCTGAACCCTCGCGGGGCATTTGACTCATCACTTGCCGTATAGTATAACCAATAAAATTAGTACAGTGGCCGGCAAAAAGCAACAACATTGCACGAATTTTTTGACGTTGCTCGTCTGTTTCGACAGAAAAATGCCACTGTACTTGCTGTAGTGTAAACAGCCACTTGTCGAGTGTCCGCCACTGGCCACCGTAGTTGTACTCGCCACTCGCCACTGTCTTTGACACGGTGTCAAAAAAAATTTACAATTTTCTTCTTAATCAAATAAAATTGAATGTTGGTAAGCGCATAACTCAAGAATGGCTGGACCAATTCGGCTAATTTATATAGTTTTACTTTGAAATAAATAAAACTAAAACTTGTAGTATAGAAAGGCGTTTATTTTTCCACCACTGCCTGTATAAGCTGCTATAAAGTGATCTCATTAAAACCTTTGCTGCAAATGTAAGCATAATACAGATTGAACTTTACTAGTAATCTATAACAACAAAAAATGAATATATAAAAGTAAAAAAATAAAAAAAAATAGGAAATTTTGATTTCTATATAATACAAATAATTAAATTTAGCAATCCATACTAATATTATAAATGCGAAAGTAACTTTGTCTGTCTGTCTCGCTTTCACGCCAAAACTACTGAACCGATTTAAGTGAAATTTTGTACATAGTCTAGAGCCTGAGAAAGGACATAGGCTCATAACGCACTAACCGGGTGTCGGAAGGGGCGGTCCGCCCCGGGCTCCCGGTCCCCAAACGCCTTCATGTTCTCTTTAACAAATCCTAAACAAGGCTTTGTACCTATCTAAGAGGTTGGAGTTTGGAGGTCCCATACTAATAATTTTTCTTTCAGATAAAATACGTATAAATAAAATCACAATCATTTCAGATAAAATACAGCCGATACTGTTAATTTACATTTTATAAATAAAATTACTACTACAGTGTCAGCTGTATCAATGGTACGGGCTCCCGAGCCCAAGGCATCTGTAGGCCCCGAACGGATGAAAGCAAAAAATTCCACAATTTCTTAAATTCTTAAGTCGTAAATCCCAAGAAAAATGATAACTTATACAATATCATCTAAGGACTCATTCGCCTACATGAACAATATAGTATATACAGGAGTGACCATGTTTGCGCAGTAATTGCATGAAATCAAATGCACGAAATCAAATCTTTCTGGCGAGGTGTAATGTTAAAATGACTTTATCATCATGTAAATTGTAATCTACCTTTAACAGGTGACCTTCCTTTAACAGGACCTATTTAAAAAGAACTTTTTTTAAAGCAAAAGGTGAAATAAAATATTTTAGCCCCACCATTCCAATTGAAATTGTTAATTGGTTTGTTACGGAGCAGTAAGAGAAAAATATTGTTTTATAAATTAAAAAAGCTCATTTTCTACTACACTATTTACTATACTATTTTACTGTACTACTTCGGATACAGTACAGACCTGTCGAAACTGTATATTTTTTTAATGTGAAAAGTTTCCAAGCGAGCAGGCGGTTCACCTGATGTTTTTGCTTTCAGTCCCGAGACTATTAAAGCTTCATCTGACGCAGAACCGGTGGGCTAGCCAGAACCGACGGGTTTAGGCACTCCGATGTGGGTAGGGCCGCGCATGTGCTCATGCGTGCGTTTAACTACGACATGTCATCTAAGGGCCATCGAAGTTGCGGTGCGGACCGAGACCCCAATGGCCGTCGACTATGTTTTTAGCTAATCGGTGGCTGGGGGCGGTGAAAACCGCCCTGGAACGCGGGTGTACCTTGTGTACGCGTTGTGTTGGTCTCGCCGTGCTTGGAGGCGGGGGCGAACTATTGTGTTTGTTGTTACACTACCTGTGGGTGTAGTGTTATCCGGCGGGACCCCCGGCGGTGGGTCCGGCGTATCTAAGTCCCCTTCCTCGACTGGGTCGATGAGGACGTTTCGCGGGCGACGCTTGTTGACGTTCGCGTTTGTGTCGGGTTGGTAATTTGCTGCGCTTACCACCAGAGGGTTGGGATGATGTTCGGCTCTATCGAAGAACCGTTTGGTCAGGTCTTTAAAATATTCGCGAATCGTCGGGAGTCTGCAATCGCTGTGCAGATCGACGTTGCGCTGATACCACTGCGCACCGGTTGCACGGCGGATGAACTTATTTTGTACTATTTGCAGCTTGTACAAGCGAGTAGGGTGCGTGTGGGTGAAGATCATGCATGCGTAGGACATAATAGGCCGTACGCAGGTCTTACATAATAATAATTTGTGCTTTAAGGGCATTTTGCTTTTAGCGTTAGTTAAATTGTGTAGCCGGCTGGAGACGAACGCGGCTCTATTACGAACGTTATTAATGTGCGTAGTAAATGACATACGCGAGTCGAAAGTGACTCCTAAGTATTTGACCTTTTTCTGCCAGGGGAGCGGTTGGCCATAAAGGGATATTTGCATTGGCAAGGGCCATTATAAAGATGTGACGGGTAAGTACTTCGTGTGAAGTGAATCGCCACACTCTTTTCGGGATTTATTTCTATTCTCCATTTGCGGAACCAATCGCCGAGGCGGTTGGCGGCGATTTGGAGTCGAGTGGTTAGTATTCTAAGGTTGCGGTCTGAATAAAAGAGCGCGGTGTCATCCGCGAAAAGCGCGAGATTGACGTGGGGTCTTTGGGTATGTCGCTCGTGTAGAGCGTAAAGAGCAAAGGTGAAAGGCAGGAGCCTTGTTGTACGTAGGCCGTGAGGCGGCGGCTTGTGGAGAGGGTGCCCTCGACACGATATCGAAAAGAGCGATTCAACAAAAAGGCCCGGATGGTGTGTACAAGCCTATCTGGCACTTTGAGTGTGTACAGCTTGTAAAGCAAGCCGTTGTGCCAGACCTTGTCGAATGCCTTTGCGACATCGAAGAAAAGAGCCCCTGTGTGGATGTGCTCCGTTAGGCGGTATAACTGGTCGGGACAAGAGTGTCTAGCTCGAAAGCCGAATTGTTCCGTCGGCAGAAGAGTCTGTTTAATAAGAGCCGCTCGTAGAGCTAATATCTTGAACCTCTTCGGGGGTCACTGAACTTAAAGGATCGCCTTCCGGTGGAAGCGCAGCCCTAGTTTCGATTACGCGGTCCACCTCCGTTAGGTGGACTGTATCGGTATGTTCGCGCGATGGCGTACATTGCTGCTCTAGGTTGTCCGCCAGGCATTCGGCTTTTTCGGAGTCTAGGTTAGGAGCTATTAGGTCTAATTAACGGCGGTAGAGATTCGCGGGGGTCTGCTTTCAGACTGCGGGCCAACCGCCAGTAGGCGGTGTGCAATGGCTCGATGTCCTCTAGGAGAGTGTCCCACGTTGTTTGTCGGTGTTCCGATACACGACTACTTCTAGCTGATGGCGTCGAAGTAGGGTTCGGTTCGATACCGATCGGTATCGGTCGAAGGCGCGATTGTCTGCATTTTTCTGTCTAATTAGCAGTCTTAGGTAGGGCGGAAAGTTAAACCGTCGATCGCCCGACAGTTTCACCGTCCGTTCCGAGTCTGTGACTGCGGAAGTAATGGTTTCTCGGAGACTTGCTATCGCTCGATTTTCGTCATCGAACGTAGCTATCGTCTCGTGTAGGTCGACTAAGTCCTGGGGGTCCAAGGCCTTGAGTTTGACCTCAAGACGATTCCAGTCCATTACGGATTTGGTCGGAGGGACCGCACCGGCGTTCTGGCCCAGTTTACACAGGACGGGCCTGTGATCTGAATCTAGTTCATGGATTGTCTCTATCGACTCGATGTCGAGCAAGACCTCCTTGAATAACATGATATCTAGGATACTCGGTGTCGCATGTTGGTAGTTGTTCACCGTAGGATACCTAGTGGAAGTCAAAGGAGCGAATATGCTAAAGTTTAAATTATCGGATAAGCTAAAGAGATGTTTTCCGTTGTTATTTGGGATACTGTGGATGTCCCATGAACCGTGTTTGCAGTTTAGATCTCCTGCAATTATCACGGAAGGGCCTAAGTTGAGTAGCGTAACTAGGTCGCTTTGTAATAGGGTTTTGTTCCCCGAGAGGTAGGCTGAGACTAGTACAAGCGGCCTGTGGCCGGTGAGCGCTAACCCACACGCGGATGCCTCTATTTGACTTAGCTCTGGAATGTCGAGCGGGCAACAGTGCAAGGACCGTTTATAGTAAATTAATGTGCCTCCTAGACGGTTTGCTAACCGGTCGTGGCGGACTATGTTGTAGTTTGCGATTCTGGGATCACGTACACTAGGTTTTAAGAATGTCTCTTGCACTAGAAAAATATCTACGTTATAATCGCGAAGGAATTCCGCGATTTCGTCCCTTTGACCCTTTATGCCGTTTGCCTTGAAATACGAAACGACGCGGCGGAGCGCGGTTTTATTGCGCGGACTATTATGTCTTTTTATGGTTGGCTCGTAAAAGCCCATAGGGCTTCTACAAGCGTTTTGTGTTGGCTGATTGCTCTAAGGCGCTCGTTGTCAGATGTGGCGGCCGCTATTTTAGCGGACAATACGGCGAGTTCTTGCCTATTGATTCGGTCTAATAGGCTGCAGATGTTGGCGATTTGCGCGAACGGGTCGTCCTCGTTTTCCGCGAAAACCGACGGAGTTGGCTGCACCTGTGGCCTCGGCGCCGTTTGATAG